CCTTTCCCAAACCCGTCACTGAGTTTAAAGTTCTAAATCCAAAATGGAAACGATCATTCCTCTCTCAATTGTTCATCTTCCTGGTAGAGTCAAAAATCGAAACCAATAACCTTCATGGATGAGTTTTATGGGTTAGTATCAGAAAATTATAAAGAAAACAAACATTAGAACTCATCCATGAAGGTTGCTAGTTTCGATTTTTGGGTTCCATCAAGAAACGAACAATTGAGAGAGGAGTGACGATTTCGGTTTTAGGTTGAAAACTTCACACTCAGTGACAGATTTGGAAAAGGAGTGCGAGAAGAGGGGGAAGCTTAATTGAGGAGACAGAAGAGCGTGAATTTGCAATTTTATACACGTTTTTAACAGAAATATTACAAAGGACCATTCATGGAAACAATATAATAATGGGGGACTAAATTATTGATATTTGATATGTAAGGACTAAATATGTAAGACGAACTATAACTGAGGATTTTTTATGGATTTTACTCATTTTTAATTTAAAATGTTTATCAAATTTTTTAAATTCAGTTTATTTGAATACTGGTGTACAATTTTAAAAAATAAAATTTATATATTTAAAAATATAATACACTCATTACACTCCCAAATACATATTTTTCATGTGACAATTGCTTAATGCACGAAGTTTTGACCCCAAACAATTATTTACAAATTTTATACGTATAAACAGTGGTAGAGCTAGGATCCAAGATGAGTGGGGGTGCTTTTTTTGTCTATCACGATGTGCAATTCCAGCTGGCAGTGCGTTTTTGAAGTGGAATAAAAGTTTGACTTATTTAATAAAATCTCACTGCGTTTTCAAGATTTTTGCTTATTTTTCTAATTTTTATGGTCTTTAGATTTGACACGCTAATGCACCACATGCGTTCTCATTTCAAGTGATTTACAATAAATTGCTTAGCGACTTTTGTTTTTGTGGAAGAAGAGGAACCTTGTGGTGTGGGAGATGCGTGTGGATTCTTCGGTTATGACATTGTGGCTTGGTACATTGATTGAGGATTGTAAGGCTCTTTTTGCTAGTTTTTATTTTATCTCTATCATTATTTTTGTTCCTCCTCATTTGAATGTTATTGCTCATAATTTAGCTAGACGTGTTGAGGATCTTCCTCGACCTTGAGACGCTACTCTTCCGGCCTTTGTATTTGCCCAGTTGGTTTACACTACAAAAAATTCTCGAAATTGGCACGGAATATTAGGCACGGACATGCCGTGACTACGCCGAAAAAAAGAAAGTAGCCGCATGGCGTGTTTTTATTTGCGTTTCAATTTGGCTTAGCATTTTTCCGTGCCAAATGTCGTGCCAATAGCGTAAACGTTAAGAAGTTAATGGTGTTGTCGGGGCGTTTATTTTAACCAATAGGCACGGATTTAGTTGTTCCAATTCCCTACCTTTCTCATAAAATTCAAAATCGAAAAGGACAAGACTGTTTTGTCACGGAAATAGCCGTGCCTAATTTCGATCCTAGACAAAAAAATAATGATGAAAGGCATAATTTTCACTTTAATGACTTAAAAAAATGGAGTGCCATTAGTAATTCAGCATCTCCAATGGGCATTTTAAATTTTCATAATAATATATATATTGTATTATAGACTCAAAAATATTTTAATAATTCACTTTTCAATACTTACTTAAACCATATCTTACACTCTGTAAATAATACACTTTAATTATAATTTATTATTTTGAGTAAATTCAATAAAAGATCCCCAGTTATAGGTCGTTTTACATATTTAGTCTCTACATATCAAATATTACTAATTTAGTCTGCAATTATTATATCATTTTTCACGAATGGTCTTTTGCTATGTTTTTGTTAAGAACATGGATAAAATTGAATATTCATACTTCTCTCTCTCCTCAATTAAGCTTACTCCCTCCTCTTGTATTCTTTCCCAAACTTGTCGATGAGTTTGAAGCTCTAAACCTAAAACTGAAATGATCATTTTTCTCTTAATTATTACTCTTCTTGGTGGAACCTAAAATCATAACCAATAAGCTTTATGGATGAGTTTTATCTGTTAGTCTCAAGAAATTGCAAAGAAAATAAACATTAAAACTCATCCATGAAGGTTACTGGTTTTAAATTTGAGTTTCACCATTTAGACAAACAATTGAGAGAAGAGTGATGATTTCGGTTTTGGGTTCAACACTTCAAACTCAGCGATAGGTTTGGGAAAGGAATGCGAGGATAGGGAGGAAGCTTAATTGAGAAGAGAAAGGAGTGTGAATTACAAATTTATCCATGTTCTTAAAGGAAATGTTAACAAAGGATCATTCGTGAAAATGAATATAATAATTGGAGACTAAATTAGTAATATTTGATATGTAGGGACTAAATATGTAAAACGACCTATAACTGGGGATCTTTTATGGAATTTACTATATTATTTTTAAATCATTTGTTTGTGATAATAATTATATCTTTAAATATGTTTAAAGAATAAACAAAAAGAATCATATGTTTTTAAAAAATAATAGACTAATAAAGAATCATATAGTCAGTACATTCTTTTTTACGGAGTATTACTTAAATATTAACAAGATGTGAATATCATAGTGTATTAATAAAGGATGAGATTTCTTCCTACTCGGTATAATATAGTGTTAATTTTGAAGTATTCAAAAACGGTGTCATAAATTGGATAAACTTAATAATCGATTAAATGAAAATTATCTGCATATTAATAAGAAAATTATTATTATTGTTATGAATTTAAAATATTGTTTTATTGTATTAATATTGAGTATAATTTTTATTTAATTTATATTTAAAAATTAAAGTAGAGGCAGGGATTGGGTAGTATATTATTTAGGTTATTCAAATAAGAAATCATAAAGTGTAATGATTTTATATGCAATTGCCCCAAAATCAGCCCAATTACTTTCGCGTGACTTTGGGATTCTCTTTAGAAAAAATTGTTCCACTTTTAGAAAAACGAATTTGATGAAAACAATCGGTCAAGCCACTCCAGCCCGTTAATCATCTAATGGCGCATAAATTATCCTACTCCCTAGTACCTCCCTCTTAGGTAGTGGGGCTTGACAGTTGACCCCAAGCGTGAGTCCCTCATGCGTGAACACGACAACACCGCCGAGTTCACGAAGGGGGTTGGGTCACGGTTACGGGTGTGGCCGGATGAAATGCCATGGAGATAGCCGATCATCGACAACTTTGTATAAGGACTTTTTAGACATTCCAAAAATTGTTTTTCTTATAAGAGTTCTTTTTATATAATTGTATGTTTCAATTATTTTCATTTCGTTTTTCCATATTTTATTTTTTATTCTGGATTTTCTTTTTTGAACTTCTTGGATTTTTTTTGTCTAAAAATAAAAAATTGAAAATATTTAATTTTGATAGATGGAATGTATGTTAATTTTTTCATGTTTTATTTTTATTTCAAATACAAATAATTTTGAATTTTTTAAACATTATTTAAAAATCAAAGAAATTAAAACAAAATTTAGGTGTTGATAATGAAAATGTAAACAGATACTTCAACTAGTTACAAAAAAGTGCGGGCAAACGGACACCAAGCTGCACTGTAATAAACTAAGGGGTAATAGCATGGGTGCCCCCGTGGTTTACAAAACGAGCGCTAAAACCCCCTCTACTTTCAAAAGTTGTTTGTAAAACCCTCGTGGTTTTTAAATAGTGCACAGACGCCCACTCTTGCCTATTTTTAGACATAAAATGACATTTCTGCCCTTTATTTTTCTCTACCTTCAAGTTTCACTCTTTTATTTGCATTTTTTCGTTATACAAATAAATAAATAAAATATACGTCCCATTTCTCAAATTAAAATTTTCATTTATTTAATTTTCAAAAAATATTTTTTTTTAAAAATGTTATAAAAGAAAATTAAAAATTAAAAAATGAAATAAAATACAGCTTTTCATTATAAGTAAAAGTAAAATAAATAAAATAAAAAATTAGATAACATATACTCACTTTGTCTCTAATTAAAAATTCCAACTTATTTGTTATTTAAAAGTAAAATAGTTTTCAAAGGACTTTAAAAAATGAAGAACAAAAAGATAAAATAAAATACGGAGTTAAAGAAAAAGACTGGCTTCATATTTTTCTTTCTTTTCATTACCTTTTTCAGTTATTATTTTTACTTTATACATAATATTTTATTTTTCATTTTCTTTTGTAACATTCTCCAAAAAAATCTTTTTTCCAAAAAATAGATTATGGAAAATTTTAATTTGAGATGAGAAGCGTATATTTTATTTTATATATTTGTATAATAGAAAAAAATAAAATAGAGAAAATTCAAGATCGAGGAAAAGAAGGGGCATAAATGTCATTTTTGCTTTAAAAATAGGTAAGGGGGGCATGTGTGTTCTATTTAGAAACCATGAGGACTTTACAAACAACTTTTGAAAACATAGGGGGTTTTGACGCTCTTTTTGTAAACCACGGGGGGGCACCGATGTTATTTTCCCAATAAACTAATAATGTGCTTTTGAACATGAAACAAAGAGAGGAAAATGGAAAAAGACAAAATTGAAAAATCAACTACAAATATATACTTCTTATATACTCCTCCGTTCCACAAACTTCCCCTTTCGTTTTTTTTGTTTTCCACAAAACACTTCCACTTTTTATTAAAAAACCACTTTTACCCTTACTTTTTCATACCCTACCTATCACATCATACTTTTTTACTAATAACCAAAATATCACATTTTACTTTTCCCATCACATCAAAGGCAAAATTGAAAAGTCAACCAAAATTACACTTTCCTTAATTTTGTCCAAAGTCAAAATGGGAATGGTTTTGTGGAACCGAGGGAGTATATCTCATTAGTCAAAATAATAACCCTTTTAGAAAAGGGATGGAGTAGATCATTAGAGCCCCTTACAAGAGTGTCTCCTTCAATCAAAGTGCGTGGTAACATAGTGAACCAACAACTAAACTCGTCTAACTATATATATGTTCAATGAATATGAGTTAAACTATTCCTTTTCGAGCTTGCCCTCTTATAGGCTGCTCCCAGCCCCCCTAAGGCCCTAACCCACCCCCATTGAGATAGGAGGGAGCATTATATATATATATGCATGTATTCCATACCCGGCCGGTCATTCAACTGGAGGACATAATAACACAGATGAAAGGCCAAGAGGCAAAGACGGAAGGCCAAATGGGAGGCACGGCGGGGGAGGTGGCCGTAGTTATGGTGCCTCTCCCGGCACAAGGCAATCTCAACCTCCTCCTCCACCTCTCCCGCCTCATCGCCTCCCACGACGTCCCCGTGTACTACACCGGAGCCGCCACTCACATCCGCCAGGCCCAACACAGACTACAAGGATGGTCCCCTCACTCCGTCTCCACACTCCATTTCCATGCATTCCCAACGCCTTCTTTCGACTCCCCCGACCCCGACCCCACCCTCAGGTCACCCGCCCACCTGCTGCCCTCATTCCGCGCTGCCTTACTCCTCCGCGAGCCCCTCCGCGAGTTCCTAATGGACCTCTCCCGAACTGCGCGGAGGGTCGTCGTGATTTATGACTTCTGGATGGCTTGGAACGTCCAAGACGTCCCGAGCGTGCCGAACACGGAGTCTTACGCCTTCCGGAGCACATCCGCCTTGTCCACCTTGTCCTTCAACTGGGAGATGATGAAGAAAGAGAAGCTTTCTCCACTCCCTCCAGAAGTCTCACAAGTACTCAAACACCTCCCTGATTTAGATTCATCCAGTAGTAGTACCCAAGAAGTAAGCGAACTTGACAAGTTACAACTTGAAGCTCCGCAGTTCAACTCTGGAACAATTTTCAATACTTGCGAAGTACTTGAAGGTACATTTCTAGACTTGTTGGCAACTGATGATCGGTTGATGGGCCCGATGCAGTGGGCCATCGGGCCTTTCAATCCGATCATCCTGCAATGTGCAGCGGCGGCGGCTGCAGAGAGTAGCCGCCACCCGTGCCTGTCCTGGCTGGACCAACAAGAAAAGAACTCGGTGATCTTCGTCTCCTTCGGGTCAACCATCACATTGCCGCAGGAGCAAATCAATGAGATCGCGGTCGGGTTGGAGAAAAGCGGGCACAAGTTCATTTGGGCGGCGAGAGAGGCGGATAAAGGGGACATTTTCGCCGGGGAGGAAAAGAGGGTGGCCCTGCCGGATGGATACGAGGAGGAGATAAAGGGCAAGGGAATGGCGGTGAGAGATTGGGTCCCGCAGCTGGAGATTCTGGCACACCCTTCTACGGGCGGGTTCTTGAGCCACTGCGGGTGGAATTCTTGCGTGGAAGCCATTTCAATGGGAGTCCCGATTGCCGCCTGGCCGGTGCACTCCGACCAGCCACGGAACGCCGCTCTGATCACGGAGGTGCTGAAGGTTGGTTTTGAGGTGGACGGCGGCGGTTGTGGCGGCCGCGGAGTGGTGAGGTCGGGGAGAATCAGGGAGGCTGTTTTGAGATTGATGGGATGTACCGAAGGAGATGAGATGAGAAGAAGAGCTGAAGAACTGAGCCGCGCCGTGAAACTCTCGGTGTTAGATAGAGGAGGTGCCTCCAGGAAAGAAATGGACTCTTTCCTTTCTCACATAACTCGAGAGTAGACACTTCTCACAACCATGTTACTCCATTAAGACTTAAAATTTTTAATCTTTTTAAATGATTTTATTTACAAATTGATTCATCAATAAAAAAATAAAATTACATATTAAAAATTATATCAAAATTTTACAACATAAGAGGTGACAATGATATTTTACTTTATCAAATAATCAATGAAAATATATAAACAAAAAAAGTTATTGAGAAAAGAGAGCAAATAAAATTATAATCAAAATAGGGACAGAGGGAGTACTATCCTAGACTACAAGTTTATATTTACATTTTGATGTCTCATACTCCCTCCGTCCCGGAGTATTCGTCCAGTTTTGACTTTTGGAACTGTTCATCTAAGCACTACTCATCAAATTATCTCAATGTGTAAACCTAAATATAGTCATGTGTGATTTTGTTTGAGTTGTCTTAACATATACTCCGTAGATTATTAATATATAATTTCTATAATTTTTTAATATATAAATTACAAGATAAAATGGATTAAAGAAGTGTATTAGATGGTGTGTAAAAATGAAAGTGGACAAATACTCTGGGACGGAGATAGTATTAACTCAAAATGTTAGTGTGATCGAAAATTCTATAAAGACACTTTCTGCCAATGCAAACCCTAAATCTTGCACTTACGTAGATACAAAATGTAAATGTAAACTTTTGAAGTACATTGTGAGGTAGAAATAGATTTATTCTTCTCACAACCGTACCCAACTTGGAATTGCATTTAGGCGCCAATGGGTAGCTCACTGGTCGATCACGAGTGCCAAAGGAGATAAACCAGACTTCAATTCTTGATCTTTGCGATGAGCGTGCCAACTACGCTAAACATAGAGTCTTTGCAAGTACAAAGTGCAGACTCCAAGTTTTGCTAATTAATCTGTGATTCATTCAATTTACCTTTTCTCGCGTGACCGTCCGACTAGTTAAACATGTTTTTTGTTCCTTTAAAATATGTGAGTTTTGTTTTTGGTCTCTGTAAAAAAAATTGTTTAAATCTGTAAATATAATAAAGAACGTTTTATTGATTGAATAATAGAAGAGGAATACAAAGTATGTATTTATAGGTGGAGGAATATATTCTAGAATCCTCCACATTAATGACTAATTATATAAGGTAATATTATATAATAATAACTCTAACTATAATAGGTAACAACCATAATTATAATATATAATATTAAATATATTATATAATTGATATATTTAACATGTTCCAAACGTCCTGAACGGTGAAGGTTGAACGCCAACTTTACTTGAATCGTGAACAGAATTGTAATCAGAAGCTAGAGGCATATCTTCGGCTAGAGTAGACTGAATGCATCCGGCCTAGAAGAGAAGAAGAAAGATTACCAGGAAAGAGATGTGAAGGCGCTGATGAGGAGAGGAGAAAAGCCGATGCGAACAGACTCATGCTGCTGACGTCGAAAGAGGGAGAAGGTTGACGCGCGCTAGAGTCGTGCGCGACTGGGTTAGAGAAGGAACAGGTGCGATCTTGGCGCCAGGAGAGGCCACTAGTTTGGTGGAGTAGGAATTGATTTAGACCTCTACTTTTTTTAAAAGTCGTTGGACAATAAAAAAACTAGAAAACTTTGTAGTTTCAGGAGATGGTGAAGAATTTGGGTCAGAGGAAAACAGTGATCCGGCGGGCGGCAGTTAATGACGGTGCCGCCCGCCAGAAGCGAAAGCGGAGAAATTTAGGTCACCAAGAACGGTGGCTCCGATACCATGTCAAGGAACCAACTTAACCAAAAGCTCAAGCTTTTGGGTTAGAATTGTGGATTCCGACTTTATATGCAAGTGATTAATTTTACCAGACACTCTATCCGTTGTTCTTGGCCCGCCGGAATTTTAACATGGTATCAGAGCCTTTATATTGATTTGTATTGGCCCGCCGGACTTTATATTGATTTGTTTAATCAATAAACAAATCAAAATCTTAATCCCTTCTTCTCTCTCGGTTCGCCGATTTTCTTTGTCTCAATTCTTCTTCTTCTTCCTCGTCTCATATTCTCAAGAGCTTGAAGACGCTTTAAGTCTTTCCTATCCGATACGAGTTCGTATCATTGGTGCTCTCGTTGATTTGAACCCAAAAAAACTCCGATCAAAGTCCATTAACCCAAAGAAGTTGTTGCTGCCGATCACATTCATCCGCCTATCATTCAACCAAATTGTTATTCCCGCCGTTAAGTTGCCGCCGGACGGATTCTACTTGTTCGGCCATTCAAGGTAAGCAGCCGCAACTCCAAATCAACAAAACAATACGTTTTTGAGTTGCCAAATTGGAATCCAGTAAGGAGGTTAGGAGGATCTAGTCGCACCGCACCGAATTGTAGCAACCTTGCGAACAGAAAGAACGTTATTGAATAATAGAAGAGGAATACAAAGTATGTATTTATAGGTGGAGGGAATATATTCTAGAATCCTCCACATTAATGGCTAATTATATAAGGTAATATTATATAATAATAACTCTAACTATAATAGGTAACAACCATAATTATAATATATAATATTAAATATATTATATAATTGATATATTTAACAAAATCATCTTTACATATTCTTTTGTTCTAAAAAGGGTCCTTAAATGTACTTGTTATTAAGAGTCTAAGACGTCTAACTTCTTCGTAGTACATTTATTTCGTACTCAACATTTTAGTCTTAAATTTTGTACATAACACATCTTAACCCTTAAAAAAATAATAGACAATTATTCAATATATTTACTTAAAGTTAAACGTGTTTATATATTCATTTTCAATATGTAAATTAGAGTTTATATTTTTTTCCTCAATAGCTAATGTCAATCCATTTTTGTACAATGCATTTTTGGTAAAAATAGTTTTAATATAATTCACATTTTATAAGAAATTAAACAAATATTTATAAAATATTTTAAAATATAAATATACCAAATACTTTTACACGAACCAAATTTTTAAAAAACCTAATATATTATGTATGATAAATGAATCAAACACGAATACATGAAAATATTCGTAATGAATACAAATACGAAATCCATCCAAAATTAATGAATACGAATAATATTCATAAATATTCAATTTGTTTCGATTTGTTTACAACCCTACAGTACAAACAAATTGGAGCAGGTTGCATAATTCATTTTAAATTGGAGGAGGTTGCATAATTCATTTTAAAAAAATTACTCAAAATAAGAATACAGCATAATCTTTATTTCTAGAAAATTACTCAAAATAAGAACAAAACATAATTCTCGAATTAGGAATACTGAACTATGAGAATATAAATTGAAATTCCACAATATTTTTTTAGTATTGTATGTTGGGATAATTGGGGAATTATATAGGTCATATTTTTGGGGAAGATAACTTAAAAGTCTCATTTTTGTCTTTTTCTTATGTTCTAGTCCTCTTTCAATTCATTTTCCTATATTTATGTTGGTTTGGGCCGATCTTTAAATTTTTAAATAAGCTCTTTTTATAGGTTTGGGCCGATTTCTAAATAAGGTCTACTGGCCCATTTAAAAATAAAATAAACAATTAATATTGAGTAATTACTTACTCAATTTTTCTAACCATTTTTATTTTACACGTTAAACATTTGATCAACAATACTTTTCAGAATATATTACTAAAAGCTATTTTTAAAAACTAAAGTAGATGAGTTTTCCAATTTTTATATTTAAATTTAGTGTATATACCTTTATACTCCGTACTAGCTTGAAACACACCTTGGGATTTTGGTGCCCAACAATGAAAGAAAATGAAAAAAATTAAAATGTATGAATGATATGAAAAAGAATGATTTTCAAGTACATAAAAAGATAAAGCATGAAAAAATTAAAATGTATGAATGATATGAAAAAGGATGTTATTAGAGAAAGAGCATAAAAAGATAAATAAAACATGAAAAAATTAAAATGTATGAATGATATGAAAAAGAATGTTATTCGAGAAAGTGCATAAAAAGATAAAGCATGAAGAACATTATGTTACAACATTTTTTTGGACCCCTGTCCTTTGAGTCATTCTAGTTCATCAAACAATCTCGATTATTTACTGACCTTCGAATATAGTGGTTAATAATGCTTTTGGTACTTAGCTTCAAGTGCTGCCCTCTATTAGTTTACCTCCAAGTTCATCATGTTAAGCATGAGATTTCAAATAAAAGAACAACAATAATAACAACAATTTTAGACCAAATTGTGCAATAATATGAATAGATTACCATTCCGACCGCACCAACAAATAGAGATGTAGGGTTAGGAACTACTATTGCAATTCCAACACCAAAGAGAAGGATAGGCAATGAAACCTGGACATTCATACTGCAAAATCATAGAAATGTTTGCATTAATGGACAAACTTGTAACTCAATGCACACAGACTAAGCTAAATAGAAATTCACAATTTAACATCGATTTCATTTATAATAAAACTCATAATATATGATTAACAATGTATCTTTTAACATCATTGAAATTGGGTCTTCTCCATCCTCCTTCCATTGCAAGTGTCACTAAAAAAATACTACGGGTTATACATCTAGTAGATCAGTATATAAAGAATGTCAAATAATTACTATGGAGTTGAAAATAGAATTATGCAACATTCATATCTGCAATTATTATAATGAAAGAAAGAGAAGCATAGAATCCATACACTGGTAAATTAGCTAATGGTTGTAAAAGTTGTACTCGAAAAATGAAAATCAAACATTCTCCTAAATGAGCAACATGTAATGTTAATTTAATACTCGAGAACATGATAAAATCATTTAAACTTTTTTAAAATTTTCAAAGTTCAAATCTTTTAATAATTTATCTTTCCTATGATTGTTATTCTACAAAACACATATTAAAACCTCGAAATGATGGTTGTAGTGATGTTATCTTAAATAAAACAAGCTACCCTGAGTTCAGTAATCTCTTTATATTACTCGGGGTAATAAACATTTTCGGTCCTCCCCCTACACACACAACCAAAAGAACAAAGGAGGTGAAGAGTTCATTTTACAATCTCAACATAATCATAGAGAATTCAAGATAGGTGAAGGAGTGAAGGACTCTGACATATGAACAAGTGAAACATGTGGAAATGAACACATAAAATAGGCTGATTTGAATCCATAAGTAACCACAAGTATGGTTCTATTTGAAGAATTGTTATTTTCCAATAATGATTATGTGTGGATACAAGAGATTATATAGTAGGGGTTTCTTAGTTATGTTAGAAAACCTAGTTAATATGGACTATACAAGTATGGTAACTACTATATACAAGTAATATTAAATATAGACATAATATATTTAACATGCTCCCAACGACACTGGTGAGGAACGCTGAACTCCCAAGCAGTCCTGAAATTCTGAGAAGATGTTGGATGGAAGACCCTTCGTGAATATATCATCATACCGAAGGGACGAAGGGACATAAAGAACTCATACCTGTCCGAGAGCTACCTTGTCTTGAACGAAATGTAAGTCAATCTCGATGTGCTTCGTGTGCTGATGCTTAATAGGATTTGTAGAGAGATAGACAGCACTGACATTATCACAAAATACAAGTGTGGAACGACTGAGAGGTTGTTGGAGTTCTAGCAGAAGATTGTGTATCCAACTGACTTTGGCTACGGCATTCGTTACTACTCTGTATCCTGCCTCGCCCTAGATCTTGACGTGGTGAGTTGGCGCTTAGATCACCAGGAAATGAGATTGGCGCCAAGGAATATGCAGTAGCCAAATGTGGACCGGCGAGTGTCAGGCCAGTCGGCCAAATCAGCATCCGAGTAGGCCCGCATGTAGTCCGTTTGCGACAGAGATATGGAGATGTCGCGTGATGGTCTTCCTTGGAGGTACCGTAGAACCCGTTTCATAGCTGTGACGTGTGGCGTGCATGGATCATGGAGAAAGAGACAGAGCTGCTGGACTGCATAAGTAATATCAGGACGAGTGAAAGTCAGATACTGTAGTGCCCCCACAATGGAGCGGTATAGGGAGGGGTCCGGCGCGGGTGATCCTCTTGAGGCCGATAACTTCCCTCATGTATCAACCAAGGTGGACACCAGTTTCCAGGAGAGCATGCCTGCGCATTCAAGAATATCATAGAGAAACTGAGTCTGTGTCAGGAACAAGCCACGAGAGGTGCGCTGAACATTGATCCCAAGGAAAAATGGAGATCCCCCATGTGTGTCATAGCGAACTCTCCCTTCAAACACTGTATGATTTTTTGAAGGAGACCTTGTGAGGAAGTCGTGAGAATGATATCATCAACATACAAAAGTAAAAAGGCCATCTGAGACCCCTGACCATAAGTGAACAAGAATGTGTCGCTCTTGTAGCCGCGGAAACCAATGGAGAGAAGGAAGCCAGTGAATCGCTCATACCAAGACCGTGGTGCTTGTTTCGATCCGTAGATAGTGAGGTCAAGCCGGGTCTTGAAAACCAAATGGTTGGGCCGTGTAAAATGTAACATCCCAACTCGCGTAACCTAAACCAAGGAGTTAACAAATCATGTTGCTACTAAATTGATAATCACAACACAACTATTTAGACAAATAATTCGAAAAAAACATCCAAGACCCACTTAATTATGAAAAGTTCAGAGTAAGTCCATCAAGTGCGGAAGTCTCAAAATAGCGTTCTACAATAAATGTTTAACCTAAATAACCCAAATAATTATTCAACGCAATAATTAAATGTCCATAATAAAAATGGTGACATCATCCACGGTGTCACGCGTCAACGACCTCAAGGCTGGCCCTCCTGATCAAAGTCCCTACTTGAGTGCAGTCAAAGACAACAAGACTACATGCTCAGCTGAAAGCTGAGTGAGAGAAATATCTAACGCTAGAATTAATTTCGCAGATAGTATCACATTTATATAATAAGAAACATCAGTGAACAATCAACATTTATTTTCAAACACAAGAATCCAACAATTCCAATTCATTTATTCCCAAAGGGCTATTTCTGTCCCTACAACACTAAGGCTAGATTCAACAGACTAGAGTTACAGACACTCGAGCGGATCCCTCGAGGCCAATGCTCGGACAAACCCAAAAGAATCCTCAATGGGCGGGTTAGAGTCTCTACCAAGGAATCCCTTAGGTAGAGCAGTGACTCTTGTACGTACGTTTTGAACCCTAGGCCACTAGATATGCAAACATGCTCCACAAGGCCCGAACCTAACAACAATCCTTTTGGTGAATAAACTATCCAATTTAGTTCAGATCTGCCTAGGTATACTAGGTGGCCAATTTTCAACAGAGTTCTCAAGTGACAACAAGCACTTAAACACTTCCATAAACAGAACAACACACTCAGCAGCCCATCGAAAGAATCACTTCTCACCGATTACCATCATGCTCATCAACAAAATTAAACCCAACAATAATTAAATAGCTTACATGTAGACCTGGCAAAACAGAACCGGAACCGATTACCCGAACCGAATTATCCGAAACCGAAATGATCCGAAAAATGAAGATCCGATCTATAACCGAAGACCCAAAATGATCCAAATCGAAACGAAATCGAACTAAATAATTCATATCCGATTTAAATCTGAAACCGATAATATCTGAAACCGATAATATCCGAACCGATTAAACCCGAAACCGATTAAATCTGAAATCGATATAACCCGAAACTGATATAACTCAAAACCGATTAGATTCGGAACCGATAATATCCGAAACCGATTAGAACTAAAACCGATAAATTCATAAATGTGTTTGCCTTTAAATAAGCATATTATATTTTTAAATTTTTTTCTTTTATTTTACCATTTGAACTAATTATATTATTTGCTCATTTCCTCATAAAATGGATTATCATGTTTTAAAAACATTACAAAAAATAGAGCAAATGAGCAATAAAATAGAGATGACATAATACACATAAAAATTACTTTTTCCAAATCTAAGCATACATGCAATAAAATAAAACAAACCAGTAATAAAACAGAAATGAGAATCTTGCTAAACACCAAAAAGTAGTCATCTAGTGATAATTAAAAAATATAGTACTCCCTCCGTCCCAAAAAGATTGGTACATATTGACTTTTTGGGAAATTAAGTGAGGGATATTTTGGTGTTGACTTTCCACAAATACCATTGATGTGATAGGTAAAAGTAGGATGTGATGGGTAGATTATTAGAAAAAAGGTATGATGTGATAGGTAGGGTATGGAAAAGTAAGGGGTAAAAGGGGTTTTTTAATAGAAATGTAACGGACTTTACGGGACGCAGTTTTTTTGAAACGTGTCGGACTTTTTGGGACGGAGGGAGTATTCAATAGTCATGATCCAAAAATCGAAATATAATGCAAACGTCCATAGATGGTGGAAATATCATATCTAATAATAGTCTAGCTACAATAAATTATCATATCCCAATTTCTAAAAAAAAAACTTATAATGCATGTAATATTATTATTAAAAAATTATAATAAATACAATTAAATTATAATTCACAGAGATGGTAAAATAAAACAAAAAATTAAAACTTTTCCTTAAAAACTTAAAATATAGTTTTCTATCAAAATTATAAATTTAATTAGTCAAAGTGTAAAATAATAAGATTCATAGAAGAAATTAATGAATAAATCATTCTCTCGCATACCACTATATTTCCAAAAAATGAAATGTCTAACAAAGTTATTTAAGAAGAGTTAATGTATTATCTTTCATATGCACATGCATGTATAATATTTATATATTCCATCAATAATAGACATTTTGATTGAATAACTTAAAAAGTTATTCTCTTATTTATTTAATGTGAGTTTTTTTTTAAATATAATACGGAGTAACAATTTTATAGCTATACTTATAAAAAAGTATGTGAGTCCGTGCGAAGCACGGGATAAAAACTAGTTAGAGTGTAACACAATCCTAATACGATTTGAATTTATCTTTTATCTCTTTATTTATAAAGATAAACCTAATGATATTATTTGATGTGATAGAATTTTAATATATCAAAACTAAATTTTAAAATCAATATTATGATATTAAACTTATATCATCAGAAAATATATTTTTTCATAATTTGTAGTCCACTCAATCGAAATATTTCTGAAACCGAAATATATCCGAACCGAACTAGATCCGAAACTGAAATACATCCTATCGAAATTGTATCCGAACTGGAATATATCCGAACCTATTTATATCCGAACCGAATCTGAACCGATTTGAAACCGAACCGAAATTGAAAATGTCTAGAACCGAATCAAATCCGAACCAAAATTAAATCGAACCGAACCGAACTGATTATAACGCATATCAGGAAAATATCCAAACCGAATTAATCCCATCTGGAACTGATCCGATTGACCCGATTGCCACCTCTACTTACCTGTGTCGCAAACTCGGGACTAAGGACTTCACCCTCAGACCCGCTGCACCCGCCGGAACAATATCAATTGCCACTAGATCAGCCCGACAACCCGCCGGACCAACCCGGCAGCCCAGAAATCAACCTACCAAATCCTTCCGGTGGCTGCCCGCCACTCGACAGCCCTACCGCCGCCTCGAACAGCCCGTCCCAATCCGGCCCAACAACCAAACAACCGGTCCGGGAAGCCCAAACAGCCCGGTCAACCTAAACACCCAAATCGGACCCAATTGCATAAGAACTAACCCAATTAGACATGAATTGACCGAATTGAACCAATTGGGTCCAAATTGGACCCGCCGTAAACTACCTCGTACGTCGGCCGCAGCCACCGTCGGCCAACCGCCGGCGAGACGCCGGAAAACATTTCCACAGCCCCCCAATTCCAAACCCAAGCAATTCAACATCGCAATCAATAATTCCAACAATCAATTCACACAAATTCACAATCAATCGCAAGAATTATACAAACAAGATCCTAATTTACGAATTAACGCTAACAGAAGATATTTGGACGATGATTCACACCTCGAAATTGACAAAGAAAACTCAAACGGAAGGAAGGGAAACCGCTGCTGCTGTTCCCGTCGCTGCCGCTATTCTCGCCGAACTCCACGCCGCTGCTAGGCTCGCCGGCGCTGCTTCTCAGGGCCGGAGTTTTCCGTTCAGTGCTGCCGTGAAGCCGCTGGACGACGACGACGGACAGGGCAGGAAAATTGCAAGAACTCTGCGCGACGGGGAAGGGAGGTCAGGCGACGACTGCGTAGCTCCTGGCGGCATTGCAGCTGCTGCTTGACAGCGACGAATATGGCCGGCGATGAATAGGAATTGAGCAGAATAACCGAACATAAAAATAATTATAAAATAAAAAATATTGATTATATTATAATATGAATTATCATTACAATTTTCAAACGTTATTATAAACTCGAATCAAATTATTGATTTGAATTTTAAATCAAATCATAATTAATCAGATCAGATCCAATCAGATTAGATTAGATCAAATCAGATCCAATCAGATCAGACCAGATCAGATCCAATCAGATCAGATGCAATCAGATCACATCAGATCAGATCAGATCTAATCAGATCAAACCAGATCAGAACTACAAAAAATCAAATCAGATTAGAAAAAATAAGTTGAACGGAACAGAGCCTTAATTCACTTTGTTTGTTTATTTTTACTACTCATTTCATAAAATAATATAGTGTTTTCACCTCTAGTTTTGTAGAACTTTTCATGTGGCTTATTACTACATATATTTTATATTAAAATTTTTCCCCTATATTCAAATACTTCGTAAATTGAATTGAAAATAAAGTTGGTCAAGCATCGTAACGCGCAATGGGAAGATCTTAGGTGGACGGGGGGAGTATAAAATTAAATAGGTTTTAGGGTCCAATTTACACTTCCCAACCAATTAGGATAACTTTAAGCCCAATTACCTCATACGGTAGTCGCAACTTGGGCCCAGTAAGTCTGATTCACAATCCGTTTGCACGGTCGGGTTCAGAACAGCGAGCCCTACAACGCATGTCAACTCTCAAATTAAATACACAAATTAGAAAATAATCTTTGTATTGATCGATTTAGTAATTAATTAATTATATAAATTAATTAAAAATACTAAGCCGTGTTTCGGGCGTTACATATGCAGTTTCGGTGAGAGTGCCATGTAGAAAGGCATTCTTGACATCCAGTTGATGAATCGGCCACCCACAAGACTTGCCAGACTCAGAATGATCTGAATGGTTGCAGGTTTTACCACTGGGTTGAATGTCTCATCATCATCAATGTCATGACGCTGATTGAATCCTCAGACAACCCATCGAGCTTTCCCACTCAGTTTTTGTGCTGAGCGTGTAATGTTTAACTGCACGGAGTACTTGTTAGGCAAACAACTGCTGAGAAGGAATGACAAAGACATGGAGGTCGTGCCGAAAGAGTTCCTATTTAATATGGAGTATTTAATAAAGAATAAATTGTTGAACTTAATTCACATTGTTTTAGGCTTGAACCCAAGGTTGTATTTACTGTTGACGTTTTCACTTTAAGCTTATGCGAATAATCATGAACTCCTTAATTATCAGAATGAGAATCTATTTCAGAAAAATAATATTTTACAAGGCAAACTCGGTGTTGCTAGCACTTCAGTCTTGGTGTCTCGAGTCACCAAGGGTAGGGTGTTACAGTAAAATTGATAACTTTTTGTCTCTATGGAATTATCAGTTTTTGGAGAAGGCTTTTTCATATTCCCTCTAAGGTGATGCATAAAATTAAAGTCTTATGTTGGAACTTTCTTTGAGGATCATCTCATAAATATAAAAAATCCCCCTTGATTTCCTGGGATGACTTCTGTTTGTCAAAGAAGTATGGAGGTTTAGGCTTAAAGAATCTGTCCCTATGGAATAAAACTAGCATCATGAAGCTGGTTTGGGATATAGATTTGAAAATGATGTGTTATGGATCAAATGGATCCATAATAAAGGGATTGACTCCAGTGAGATGACAACTTACAGTGAGATGACATGCTTCGATGAGATGACCCAAAGTTCACCACATTACACTGCAAAGCTCATCAATGACCAATGTAAAGCTCACCTGGAAATAAAGCAAAGCTCACCACTTTAAACACCAAAACTCACCTTTTTTTTAATTTTGAAAATTAAAAAAATAATTAAAAATAAAATAGCAACACCGGTCAACCACCGGTGAGCAGCGGCCGGCGGCGGCGGCAGCCGGTGGCCGGTGATGGTCAATGGTCAAAGTCTAGTCAGCACCCCTTCCTTTTGTTTTTTTTTCAAAAAAAATTCAAAGTGTTGAAAAAATATGGTGAGCTTTGCCTAACAGTTTGGTGAGCTTTGTAATTGTCTTTGGTGAGCTTTGCAGTGGCCAGTGGTGAGCTTTGCGTCATCTGACCAAAACATGTCATCTCACTATAAGGTGTCATCTCACTGGAGTCAATCCCCATAATAAATATCTCAAAGGAAGTAACTTATGGGGGCTGTCAAATAAAGAGGGATGCATGTTTTTATTGGGAGAAGCTTCTACTAGCTAGGGTATATTTTATCTACTCAATATACTTCTAAACAGGTTATGATTGGCTTATGGGTCTAAGACAATGTGTGCAATGGTCTAGCATTGTATGGAATAAAATGTCCATTCCCAAACATAATTTCATATTTTGGCTTAAATGTAGAGATCAGTTACAGACCAAAAAGAGGATCAGCAAGTTCCTCCCAATTGATACCTCTTGACATCCTTGCCCAGGGGAAGAAGAAGATAAACACCACCTGTTTTGTAGGTGTCCCTTTACTAAAGAAGTGTACATGAAGGTGTCTAAATAGATCTATTATGAGCTTGTAGCTAACAAGGTTGAGGAGATCACCCAAAAGCTTATAGCAATCTCACCCGGTGGCGGATCCAGGATTTGGAGCGACTGGGGGCAAGAGTAGTACGAAAGTTTGAGGGTAGCGCCCCCGTTTTTAAAAATCAAAGTAAATTATAGAAAAAATATTTTTATAAATAAAACATTCAAATGGTTAATGAAAAATCTCAAAAGTACTCTCTATAATTTTACTTTCTATTATAATTTTTATTTTTGAATTATCTTCTTGTTAATATTATAGTTTACTTTTCATTTTAAAATTCTTTTATTTTTATTTTAAATAATTTGTTCATTTCAAAAAAGTCATTTTTCTATTTGAACATTTTTTCATTGGGGGCAAATTATTTTTTCAATGGGGACAATATTAATTTTTAGAGAAATCTTAATGTATTAATTGGATAAAAACAAAATTTCATTGGGGGCAAGTGCCCCCATTAGATAGAGAGTGGATCCGCCCATATTTATTCTCTCCCACCAAGAGAAGAATGAAGCTCATTGATGTTTTTGTTTCCTATGGTTAACATATGGAAAGCTAGAAATGAGATCTTTCATGAGAAGTCCGCCATCACACCAAAAGCAACATTCCAAAGAGTTAAATTTCAAGTCACCACTTTTCTAAATTCTAGAGAAATTGTTATAGACTAAAATGTGTTGTAGTTGATGTTTGTTTCAATACGTTCTTTGTACTTGTAATCAACTATTCTTGGGTGGAATATGTATATTTGCTTTTAGTTCAAAAAAATATTATCGAACTTAAAATAAACAATATACTCCCTCCGTCCCCCATAGATCTTCTCATTAGCCCCTTTTATTTGTCCACCATAGATCTTCTCGTTACCTTTTTTAACCATTAAAATACCACAATTACCCTCACTTACTTTATTTATTACACCTCACCCACCTCATTTAATACACTCCACTCATTTTCATTAAGGGTATTATGGTAAATTTTTACTTTTTTTCAATTCTCCTTAAAAACTACAAAAAGTCAAAATGAGAAGATCTTAGGTGGATGGAGGGAGTATTATTTACTAAATGTCAAAATTTAGAATTGAATTTGGTAAAAATACTATATTTACTAAAGTACCAATTGGAGTTACCAAATGTACCAACTACATTTTAGAAATTACCCATTGACAAAACACCAAAAAGGCCTAGCTTGGCCAAGTTTAGCAATTTTGAATGGAACAAAGAAAAAATTTGGATGGGTAAAATACTGTTCAATAGGTATTTTAATAAATAACAATATGTTTTTACCATCTCTAATTGAAGATGTTCTAACTAGTACGAGATATTTCACATAAAAAGACATTTATGCACAGTGTTGCATTATTTATTAAGGTGCAAGGTCATGTTCTCTTCACTTGATCTGACTGATCTTTATTTGATTAAAATAAATTTTGATATGATTTAGTTAGATCTGATTTGAACTGAATGTCGTAGTTATATTTAAAACTATTTCTGATCTGGTCAAGTTTCTATAAGAAAAATAATATGACGTAATAAGAATAAATTGAATAGAACATAGCTTAAATTACTCCGTATGTCCGTTCAATTTTCTCAAATTAACTTTTCATGCTTTTTAAATATAGCTAAGAAGGATAAAAATTTATGAAGTCGTTCTTAATTAAAATGGACAAGTATATGAAATGGACTAAGTGTAACAAATAAAGAGACCCAACCATAATGATAAGATCTTTTTTGTAAAAAAAAAAAGATAGAGTAAAAAACTCAACTATTTTGTGATGTGAGGGCTATGAAGGATTCCCATTCCTTCCGGCCTCCACCGGGGGTGATGGACTCTTTCACCCTCTCACTCAACGCAACCGCCCTCTTCCTCATCTCCCCTCCTTCTCCGGACGCCATCATGGACTCTTTCACCCTCTCACTCAACGCAACCGCCCTCTTCCTCATCTCCCCTCCTTCTCCGGACGCCATCAGCTTCTTCACCCCTTTCGCCACCTCTTCCCGTCCCACCACCTCGCTCCGCCGCGCCCAGTCCACCAAGCTGAACCCAATCCTCAGGACTTGCGTTAGGAGCGTGGCATTCCTCGGCTGGTCCGAGTGCATCGGCCACGCCGCGACCGGCACTCCCATTGAAATGCTCTCCATGCACGAATTCCACCCGCAGTGACTCACGAACCCTCCGGTTGCCGGGTGCCCCAGGATTTCCAACTGAGGCGCCCAGTCCCGGACCACAATCCCCCTATCTCGGATCCTTTCCTCGTACCCTTCCGGCAGTACTGCTCCCCTCGAATCCCCGCCGTGAAAAATGTCAACTCTATCGCTTTCTCTCAACACCTAAATGAACTTCAGCGTGCTCTGTTCCAGCCCAATGGCCAGCTCTGTTATCTGTTCCTCGGAGAGTGAAGTGGTCGACCCAAAGGATACAAACAGAACAGAGTCTTTTTCCTGCCCGTCAAGCCAAACAAGGGATTCATGACGGTTTAGATCTGAACCGGTTGGATTGCTGAGAGAAATGGGGTTGAGTGGACCAACAGCCCATTGCAATAATCCCTTTGATACTCTCCCAAGAAGATCGAGAAATGGGGCTTCTATTTCTCGACTGGAATTCAGAATATCTCCCGAGCTTACATCCCAACACGCTCTCTGACCCCTCATGAATTCTTCAAACTCGGGAGTGAAGCAGCCCTCCACAGACGGTAGAAAATTTAGTATTTCCGCGTCCGGCCCGCCGACTTCGGGTTTCCCGGCAGCTTCCCAGTAGTAAGAATATGTATTGAACGCTGAAACGCAACGGAAACGACAGACCTCTGCGTTTTGCGCGGCGGAGACTGAATCTGCGGCGGCATGGGGAACTCGTGGAAATGAAGGTAGGGTAGTGCGGCGGCTGTTGCGAGTGGGTCCCAGCCGTGAACCCTGGTGGTGTGCACGGGGATGTGGTGGGAGGAGATGAGGCGGGAGAAGTGGAGCAGCTGGTTCAGATGGCCTTGGGCCGGAAGTGGCACCATCACCACAGCCACATTATCTCTGTTTTCAACAGTAGAGCTGCACTTGCCCGCCATTGAAAATTAAACTTTGTGATCGATCGATTGGCTAAGAAACTTGCCACCACGGTGAGTGGTTACTCTCTATTTATTGTGTACTTTGTCCTCCATAAATATTTTTAGGATTATGCTATATGTACCCCAAGACTTGTACCCCAATTTGTACCCCGCAGTTTTGCACCAACATTTTGTGTTGGTGTAAAACTAATTTTTGTTAAACGCACCAACATTTGTGTCTGTGTGAATTTTTATTAACGCACCAACACTTGTGTCGGTGTAAACCATCGAAATGTTTGTGCAAATCTGTGGTGTACAAATGGGGTATATTTGTTGGTGTAAGTGTAGCATGGTCCATATTTTTAAATTGATTTGTCATGATCTACATATTACTACCTCCGTCCCGAATTATTTGTCTACTTTTGACTTTTTTCGGTCAACTGTTTTTAACCTTTGACTTATAATTAAATAAAATATATAATGTATATTAATTAGATAAAATAATATTTTGAAAATATTTGATATATAATAAGTCTAATAAAACTATTTTTGTATCAATATCTAATATCATTTTTATTTAATTTGAGGTCAAAGTTTAACAATTTTGACCAAAAAAAAAATCAAAAGTACACAAATACTCGGGAACAGAGGGAGTAAATACTTCTTATTCATAAAATTGACTTCCCATGCTCTATACTTACATAAACGAGAAATTTACTTAAATAGCAATAAAACATAATGATTTTTCTTAAGTAGTACCATATGTATTTTTCTTCCTAATGTAGCACTTTTAGCCATTATGCATTAGTCATTATTCAAGTAAATATTCGTCAATCACTAGATATTATGCACATTATTAAGTGTTATTTAGAGAATAAAACAATTTAAATGATATTCAAGGAAATGACTTAAGTTTTAGTGTTATTTAGTGCAAATATTTCGTGCATAAATTTAGTAAGTACCCCTCCTCAAATTTAAAAGAAGTTGAATTTCATCAAATGGGATTTCATTTCACTTTTCTCATTCATATCTACTCTAACATTTGACAATAAAAATTTTAAAAATATTTTTCCTTTGAAAAAAGGACTTATTACACAATTTAAGTATAATCAAACATTATTAAAAACAATTTAAATAGTCAGTAAATTAAATAAATAATCATTCAATATCTAACACTTGTTCTTAATTAGGTCATACTCTCTCCGTCCCACTGTCTTTGTCCACTTACCTTTTGGCACATCATCCAATGCACTTCTTTAATCCATTTTATCTTGTAATTTGTATATTAAAAAATTATACAAATTATATATTAATAATCTATATGTTAAGACGAATCAAACAAGATCACACATGACTATTTTTAGGCTTACACATTAAGAGAATTTGATGAGTCAAAGTGCTTAGATGAACAGTTCCAAAAGTCAAAAGTGGACAAAGACAATGGGACGGAGGGAGTATATGGAAAATGATATAGAAATATGTGTCATAAAGAGAATAAAACATATTTGGTCATATTCAGAGAAACGTAGTGCCATTTAGTCCTATATGAAGCCAATGTAATAATGTGTTACTATAAATTGACATTTAATAGTTAAGAATAATGGGAAGAAGTAATTAAAAAAATAAAAAGTAAGATGAGATGTGGGAAAGTGGGATTAAAGAGGGGCATTTTAGTCCATTTTGGAGAAATTAAAATATTTTATAAGACGGATAAGATGAGAATGTTGAATTTTTTTGTGGGATAGAGGGATTAGTTTTTATATATTTCTTCATCAAATAATAAATTCATTTCGAAAATTTGGTTTAAGTTTTACCATGTGTAAATTATACTTTTGTTTGAATTTTAAATTTTTGTAGATAATATAAAAGTATTATCAAACATTCAAAATACAATTTTGTTATCATTTTATTTTTTTAGTTTGTGAAATATTACCTCCATCTTTGAGTATTTGTCGAGTTTTGACTTTTTTCGTTCAACTGTTTTCAATCTTTGACCTATAATTAAATAAAATATATAGTGTATATTAATTAGATAAAATAATATTTTGAAAATATTTGACATAATGAATCTAGGAAAACTATTTTTGTATCAATATCTAATATCATTTTTATTTAATTTGAGATCAAAATTTACCAATTTTGACCAAACAAATCAAAAAATGGACAAATACTTAGGGACGAAGGAGTATCAACTAAGCTTTAATAAGTATTTCTTGAATTTAGTTATTCACTTTTCACTTTTTATCATTTAAATATACTTTTTATTTTACAAAAAAAAAGATTTTGTTACATTTTAAAGTGTAACTAGGTAAGTATGTATTCATTCTGATTTTTACCGAATCCAATCCTGAACCATATCAAACTGGTATTTTGAGATCAAAATCGGTACAACGTAAAACCTCATGCCGAATCAAAATATTTGTTACGGTTTGGGTACGAACTAAATATCATACCATGCTCACGCAATCTGAGCTCCTTAATTTTATATTTAGCCGAAACTACAAGAAGAGCAATACGTTGAGTTTTTAGTTGAGTTCGTTCCTTAGCTTGACATGATATCAAAGCTTTGTTTACTAAAAGATCATGGCTCAATACAAAGCTACCTAGATAGAGTAAATTCCATAAAATGTCTCCAGTTATAGGTCGTTTTTTACATATTTAGTCCCTACGTATCAAATATTACTAATTTAGTCCCCAATTATTATATCATTTTTCATTAATAGTCCTTTGTTACATTTTTGTTAAGAAAATGGATAAAATTGTATATTCATACTTCTCTCTTTCCTCAATTAAGTTTCCTCCCTCATCTCGTACTCTTTTCCAAACTCGTCGCTGAGTTTGAAACTCTAAACCAAAAACTGAAATAATTATTGTTCTTCCAATTATTAGTATTCCTGGTGGAACCTAAAATCAAAACCAATAAGCTTTATGGATGAGTTTTACCAGTAAGTCTCAAAAATTGCAAAGAAATGAACATTAAACTCATCCATGAAGGTTACTGGTTTTGAATTTGGGTTTCACCTGTTAGACAAACAATTAAGAGAAGAGTGATGATTTCGGTTTTGGGTTCAAAGCTTCAAATTCAGCGACGGGTTTTGGAAAAGGAGTGTAAGGGGAGGGAGGAAGCTTAATTGAGGAGAGAAAATAGTGTGAATTTACAATTTTTATCTACGTTCTTAACGGAAATGTAAACAAAGGACCATTCGTGGAAATGAATATAATAATTGGGGACTATATTAGCAATATTTGATATGTAGGGACTAAATATGCAAAACGATCTATAACTGAGGACCTTTTATGGAATTTACTCAAAAAATTAACATATACTTCATCCATTGCAAATTAAATATTTTAATTTTTTTTGTCTTCAACAATAATATTTTTGGTAAGTTCAAATAGGAAATAAAAAATAAAAAATATGGAAAAACAAAATGAAAAAAATTAAAACATCTTAAAAAGAGTCTTATACAAAAAAAATCCAAAACGCCTAAAAAGGTCTTAAAATTGGGATGTCCAGCAAGGATATTCATTTCTATTTTTTTTTATTTCTTATTTTATTTGTCATTTTTTGAAGTTCTCAAATAAGTTTTTACTTTTTTATTTCAGAGAACAAAAAATGTTAATTTGAAACGTATGAATACAATATATGTTAATTTCTTTTCCAGACAAAAAAAATTTAAAACTTTAAGAACATTATAAAAATAGTTTTCAAAAAAAACAAAAAATCTTGATGAATAAAAAACAAATAAAAGGATAAAAGGAATAAAACAAAACAAAATAAACAAAAAATAAAAAATGAGCACTTGTGTCTCCTAAGGTTTAGAAAAAAGGCACCAATGTCCTCTTTTCGTCGGAAAATGATCATGTGGGGTATGAGTAGAACATTTTGAAACCACAAAAACTTTAGAAATAAGTTTTCAAAACAGATGGAGTATTGGTGTCAATTTTCTAAATCACAGAAGGTACTGGTGCTATTTGGCGGTGCTATTTGGCATCACTTCTTATTTCGTACTTTTTATGTAATTTTTTAGTATATAAATTTTAATTTTGAAATTTTAACCTTTTAAATAAATTCAATTGAAAACAAAATTAATCAAGTTTCATAGCGCAGATCAATGGGAAAAAGAAAGAATACAAAATATATAGCATTTTTTATCTTGGAAGGTCCACAATAAATAGTGGGTGGTCTTAGGAGAACACTAAAAAATGCATCCCAAGATAATCAAAGACACATACACACTCAATATCTATGCCTGTACAAACACTGCTTGCTATGCATTTCTTAGCCCCCTTCCCCCCTCCAACAAGTATTTTCATAAGGTTTATGTTTGATATTATAAAATAATTGAACCTTTAACAAAAAACGTCCATTTATCAATTTATTTAAAGCATAAGATATTCATATTTCACATATAAACATAAAAACTAACTATTTTCATTAATAGACGACTTTAGTTACACCAAACAATTCGTCAAAAATAACTAGAGACATAATGATACAAGTACATGTTACTATGTTAGTGGTGCAGTGACTTTGATACAGGTGAAAAGTCTTTTTTTAAAGCTGTGAAAAAGTCTTTTAAAATGCTAGAAGCTTTTGAAATTTGGATCACACAGTTGACACTTTGCGCGAATTAAAGTACGGTAATTTTTTGAAGGCAAATTTACTTCGTTTTAATGAAATAGAGAGTATTTAAAATAATTATCTCAGTCGCATAAAAGGTTCTACTACCTCTCTTTCAAAATGTTTGTCTATTTTTATTTTTTCTAGTGAAATTAGTAAATTTTGATATCAAATTAAATAAAAATGATATTAAATATTAATATAAAAATAATTTTATTAGATTTATTGTATAAAATATTTTCAAAATATTATTTTATCAAATTAATATATAATATATTCTTTATATAATTATAGATCAAATATTAAAAACAGTTGACTACAAATATTTAAAACTGAAAGAATACTTAGGGATAGATGTTGTGAATTTCTATTTTCGTTGATTATAAAAAAAAGGTTTACTTTTTATTTATGAAAACAATTTTGTGACGAATGTAATTTTTTTCTCTTATACATCACTTTCAACCACACAATTTCATTTTTTTATTTCATGTCAAGTGAAAGGTCAAACCTTTTTATGGGGCGTTGGGAGTAGTCAAATTCTCCCTTGGTCTCAAAATTATTTCGGGTTTCACTTTACAATATTTGGCAGAAGTTACTTGGTGTTTTAAATTTGGTTTATTTTATTAATAGTGAAAATTTAAAAATAAGATTTAAATAGTTAAAAATTATATCAAAAGGCCTACATAACAAGAAGTAAAAAGACTATTTTATTAAGAGCATTGGAAATACGTTTGAAGCCCCGGGGCTTCAAACCGGGGCTTCAAACTTTCTCTCTCTGCCACGTCAGCTTTAACTTACACCAAAAATTAACTGGAAATGAGTTTGAAGCCCCAGGGCTTCAAACTGGGGCTTCAAACTTTCATTTTTTACATTTTTAAATATACATCTTCTAAATTTAAATTAATAAATTTAAATTAATTTATTATTTAAATTAATCGCAATGAGACTAGTGCATTAAAAAATTACATTCATTAAAAAAATATTACATTCATAAAAAATACATTCATAAAAAAATTACATTCATAAAAAATACATTCATAAAAAAATTACATTCATTAAAAAAATATTACATAAAATAAACAACACTACAAAGAAATCACTAATTATTCGAGCGACTAAAGATATGTTCGATCAAATCCGCCGTTAGTGCATTGTGAATCTCTCGGCTTCGAATTTCTTGGCGGTTTCTTCGTTTCTTTTCTTCGGTGATTTCTTCGTACACAGGCACCTCCTCGTCCAGGTTGTATTGACAAATCGTAGTCCCGTTGTCCTCTATTATCATATTATGAAGAATAATACGTGCGTACATGATAATCCTCATTTTTGTTTGAGAATAACATTTCGACGGACGATCTAGAATGTGTTATTTACCCTTCAAGACCCCAAAGGCTCGTTCAATATATTTTCTCGCCGGCTCTTGAGCTTTTTTGTAGGTCTGGCGTTTAAGACCCATTGGTTCGGAGAGGGATTTGACAATCGTGGAATAATCTGGATATATTCCATCGGCCAAATAATATCCACGCTTGTAAAGCGTCCCTCTAAGCTCAAAAGAGGAGTCCGGTGCGGTCTCATTAACCCAAAAAAGCATGCCAAATCCACAAGTCATTCGAAGCAACAGCTTCGAGCATGATAGTAGGCTTGGGATGATCTCCCCAGGAGAATTGACCGTGCCACGCAGTGGGACAATTTTTCCATTCCCAATGTGTGCAATCAATACTCCCAAGCATGCCGACAAAGCCGTGTTTAGTGGCATGCC